CAACAGAGATATTTAGCAAGACTTTAGCCGTTTCCAGTTGTCATTTATGCATGTGTATGTGAGTGTGTATGCGTATGTACGTATGTGTGCATGTGTGTGTGCGTGTGTGTGTGTGTGTGTGTGTGTGTTTGCTAGACATCACTACCTCATTTTGAACGGTATCACTCCTAGGCACTCATGAGTTATCTACTTCACTGGTGAAAAGGGTAAGATAACGATTGCAATAAGAAGACGGAATGTAGATTGAATGAATCAAAATGCAGATTTTTTCGCTTTTCTTTAAAATCGTTCCTGAGTATTTAATGCGCATATTCAGTTGCTTTGCTCAATGCTTCATCGTTCAGCAATCAGCCTGCCTGCGGTCATATTGTTCGTTTCGTTTGTCTCTAAATTCCGAAAGCGAAGCGGTCAAATGCTATTTTTGGGGGATCAAAAACTTTTGTAGCGCTGATGAACGAGTTCCAACGAAGCAGGAAGAGAACCACTCCTAAACACATTATAATTACAAATTCTTTAATACTCCCCATCCCTTTTTCCACTTCGTTCTCCTTCTCTTCTTTTTCCTCCTGCTTATTTTCTACCTTACCTTTAAATACAATAACTTTGATTTCGTACAATTTTTTGTATTGCAGTGCAGCGGAATTAATGGAGTTCATTTTTGGCTCGAAATTTGACTTCGAAAGCGCCCGAAAATGGGCTTCAGAAATGGAGTGGACGATGGTGAACATTTCGTTCACCTATGTGGTCACCATATTTTTGATCAAATATGCAATGCGGGACAGGAAGCCGTATGAGCTGCAACGGCCGCTGGTCATCTGGAATGCACTACTTGCGATTTTTAGCATTCTTGGTGTCGCAAAAATAACGCCAGTCCTCCTGCAGCATATTACCACAAAAGGATATATCAGTTAGTTTCCTCTTGTTATTTTCTTAACAAAAATCGAAAAATAACTTATTTTCTGAACATTTAAGATACGCTCAGGTAATAGCCGTACATCCAACAGGATTCTTCCTCTCCAATAAATGAGCATCATTTTACTGGAATGCGCAACAACTACATATTCCAGGTAGTTTCACTGAAATTGGACCATGCTATACGGACAATGTTGCTGGTTACTGGACCTTTTTGTGGGTTATTTCAAAAATCCCAGAACTTCTGGATACGATATTTATTGTGCTGCGGAAGCGGCCATTGATTGTGATGCACTGGTACCATCATGCACTCACCGGATATTTTGGTTTTGTCACGTATGGCACTGGAAATGCTTACATGATTTGGGTTGTTTGGCCGAATTTCGTCGTTCATTCACTTATGTACAGGTACCATTTCTTATTCATTTTCTGGCTTTTTGATTTCTTCGAAGTGTTTTGATAGAGAAGTTCTAATGGAGCTTTCTGAGCGATGGATCTGATTATTACAATTGTAAAAAAATTTTTCAGCTATTACATGCTACGATCGTTGCGTATACGCGTCCCACCACAGATTGCGCAATTCATAACGTTTGGACAAATCATTCAGGTTTCTTTTTTTGTCATTTTTCAATAATGGGTTTTACCTACAGTTCCTTTACTGTTTTTTTTCGTTCATTTCAATATTAAATTGGTACTAGGGCATGCCAAAAAGACAAATCCGGCATCATTTGGCTTGCTGGCAATCCTCGGGTAGTTGTTGTTGACTTCGGAATACTCATGCGTGTCTCTTTTTATTGATAACGAGTAGAAGGAGACAGAAGGGACTTTTTTTAATTTCGTATTTTACAATTTCTTATGGAACAATAAGTAACGGCCATTAGAAGGCCGAATCATAAGTGGACGGTCCAAGTGAAGCGGCCGGGGCGGATTAAATTGATAAATAATTTGCAGCTCTTGGTAACCATAATTTCTGAAGGAAACGGCCAGTCCGGACCGTGGAAGTTATAGAAAGGCCATAATCCATGAATTTTAATGTAGGGTGAAAATAAGGAAATTATGTCTGAAGTCGAAAGAGGCCATACAAATTAGACGAAAAGCTTTATATTCATTAATAATTTCTTGTAATACTTTATTTTTCGGATGATTAGAGGAAAAGAAGTTATAAAAAATCAACAAAAAAGTAAATAACAAATAAATGCAAAGAGTAGTAAGCGGAAAAATTCATTAACTCGTAGAAAAAAATTACGTAGTAAAAGAGGAAGAGAAAAACACCTGTCGGGAGCGATTTGGTCCATTAAGTCGCATACATTCCTTTTCTGCATCATAAACGGACTTCATCAGTACGACGGCTGTGACATTGTCACTGAAAGTAATTGATATGCTGAACAAATAAAACGAAGTGTTGATCCCCAGTACTCATCTAACGGGAAAAAAACATGTCGAAAATGCTGTTATTCTTTTTCTTG